CCGCATTTAGCTTACCCCCATCCCCCACTCAGTGCACAACTCTGTAGCTGCCAAATTCGACGCAGTGTTTAACGCGCAGCTAAGCTGGACCTTGCATTTATGCGCACTTGCTGAGTGGCAATATACGCGGAGCGCTACACAGCCTAACATGAACCAGCAAACAGTATTCAGCCTCCATCAACGCACACGCACACCAGCGCGTAGCTTCCTCAAACGTACCACTAAATACCTGCTCAACCACAAAATGACACACTGCTCCACATGCACAACCCCTGACCTTCCTCCAACATTTGCTGCCCGTCTTGCCCTATGCAAAGGCATCCACTCCAACAAATATCCGCCACTCAAATCCTCCTAACCAACCCTCAACATAGCACTTCGGATCCCTCATAAACACAACCCGTACTCAAAATTCCGCCGCTTCTTTTCACACACGTTAGACTATATTACCCCCATTTCGCTTCCCCTACACTCCACTCAATGCACAGCTCTCCAGGTGCCAAATCAAATGCAGAGCTAAATCACCTACGAGCCTGATCTTGCATTTGTGCGCACTTGCTGCGTGGCAATATACGCTGAACGCTACACAGCCTAGCATGAACCACCAAACAGTATCCAGCCTGCATCAACGCGCAAGCACACGTCGTCATCGCTTCCTCAAACCCACCACTAAATACCTGCTCAACCACAAAATGACGCACTGCTCCACCTACACAACCCCTGACCTTCCTCCAACATTAACTGCCCGTCTTGACCTATGCACAGCCGTCCACTCCAACAAATATCGGCCACTTAAATCCTCCTAACCAACTCCCAACATACCACTTCACCTACTTCCTAATCACAACCCATACTCAAAAACCCCCCGCTCCTTGTCACACATTTTAGACTATGTTGCCCACATTCAGCTTCCCCCCATCCCCCATGCAATCCACAACGCAGCAGCTGCCAAATCCAATGCAGTGTTTAACACACAGTTAAGCTTGATCTTGCATTTATACGCACTTGCTGCGTGGCAATGTACCCTGAATGCTACACAGCCTAGCATGAACCACCAAACATTATCCAGCCTCCATCACCACGCACGCGCACCAGCGCGTCGCTTCCTGGAACGCACCACTAAATATCTGCTCAACCACAAAATGACACACTGGTTCACCTTCACAACCCCTGACCCTCCTCCAACATTACTTGCTCGTCATGCCGTATGCTCAGCATCCACTCCAACAAATATCGGCCCCTCAAATCCTCCTAACCAACTCCCAATACCACTTCTTCTCCTTCCTAATCACAACGCCTATAAAACCCGCCGCTTCTTGTCACACACGTTACACTATATTACCCCCATTTAGCTTCCCCCCATCCCCCGCGCAATGCACAAAGCTGCAGCTGCCAAATCCAATACAGTCTTCAACACACAGCTAAGCCTGATCTTGCATATATGCGCACTTGCTGCGTGGTAATATACGCTGAACGCTACACAGCCTAGCATGAACCAGTAAGCAGTATTCCAGCCTCCATCACAGCGCACGCACACCAACGCATCGCGTCCTCAAACGCACCACTAAATACGTGCTCAACCACCAAATGACACAACGCTCCACCTACGCAACCCCTGGCCTTTCTCCAACATTACCTGCCCGTCTTGCGCTATGCAAGCGCATCCACTCGAACAACTATCGCCCACACAAATCCTCCTTACCAATTCACGACATTCCACTTCGGCTAATTCCGAAACACTACCCATAAACTAAATTCCACCGCTTCCTGTCACACCCGTTACAATATATTGCCCCTATGTAGCTCCCCCCCACCCCGCACTCAATGCACAGCTCTGCAGCAGCCACATCCAACGCAGTGATCAACACGCCGGTTAGCTGGGTCTTGCATTTATCCGCACCAGCTGAGTGGAAATATACGCTGAATGCTACACAGCCTAGCATGAACCAGCAAACAGTATCCAGCCCCCATTACCGCGGACCCACACCAGCGCATCGCGTCCTCAAACGCACCACTATATACCTGCTCAACCACAAAATGACACACTGCTCCACATGCACAACCCCTGACCTTTCTCCAACATTACCTGCCCGTCTTGCCCTATGCAAAGGCATCCACACCACCAAACATCGGCCAGTCAAATTCTCCTAACCAACTCCCAACATACCACTTCGGTTTCTTCCTAAACACAACGCATACACAAAAATCCGCCGTTTCTTGTCACGCACTCTACACTATATTACCCGCATTTACTTTCCGCCACCCCCCCCTCAGTGCACAGCGCTGCAGCTGCCAAATTCAACGCAGTGTTCCACACACAGCTAAGCCTGATCCTGAAATTCGGCGCACTTGCTGCGTGGCAATATACGCTGAACGTCACACAGCCTAGCACGCAGCAGCAAACAATATCCAGCCTCCATTAACGCGCACGCACACCAGCGCGTCGCTTCCTCAAACGCACCACTAAATACCTGCTCAACCACAAAATGACACACTGCTCCACCTACACAACCCCTGATCTTCCTCCAACATTACCTGCCCGTCTTGCCCTATGCAAAGGCATCCACTCCAACAAATATCGCCCACTCAAATCCTCCTAACCAACTGCCAACATGCCACATCGGCTTCTTCCTAAAGACAACTCAAACGCAACAACCCGCCGCTTCGTGTCACACACTTTACACTGTCTTACCCCCACGTAGATTCCCCCCACCCCCCCATGCAATGCACAGCCCTGCAGCAGCCACATCCAATGCAGTTTTCAACACGCAGCTAAGCCTAATTTTGTATTTATCCGCACCAGCTGCGTTGCAATATACTCTGAACGCTACACAGCCGAACATGAACCACCTAACAGTATACAGCCTCCATCAACGCGCACGCATACCAGCGCATCGCTTCCTCAAGCCCACCACTAAAAATCTGCTCAACCACAAAATGACACACTGCTCCACCTACACAACCCCTGACCTTCCCGCAATATTACATGCCCGTCTTGCCCTATGCAAAGGCACCCACTCCAACAAATATCGCCCACTCAAATCCTCCTAACCAACTCCCAACATACCACTTCACCTCCATCCTAATCACAACCCATACTCAACAACCCACCGCTTCTCTCTGGCTCTTTACACACTATATTACCCCCATTTAGCTTTCCCCCATCCCCGCTCCCAATGCTTAACCCTCCCGCTGCCAAATCCAATGTAGCGTTTAACACGCATATGCGCCTCATCTTGCATTTATGCTCACTTGCTGCGTGGCAATATACGCCGCACGCTACACAGCCTAGCATGAACCAGCACACACTATCCAGCCTCCATTAACGCGCAAGCGCACCAGCGCATCGCGTCCTCAAAACCGCCACTAAATGCCTGCTCAACCAC